TAAAAATAATACAATAAAAATAAATTTAAAAATAATAATAAAAAAAAGAAATGAAGATGCCGGGACCTGTCAGACATACTCTGGGCGTGTGATCAGAGGGCCAGTGTTGTAAGCTGGACCTGTCTGACATACTCTGGGCGTGTGATCAGAGGGCCTTCTGAGTCAGACCTTGCAAGCCATAGTCACAATCTTCCTTTGAGCCCACAATTCCCAGAAGTCAAGGAGTATGGATTTGTGAACTATACCCGATGTACTTACCCCCTTTTCACCTACAGTGAACATTTTATATTTCTGCAGGCCCATCGTTAGGTCTAACCTACAGCTATACACATTTCACTGAGTACCAATGTCTTTGAAGGCTTGTGTCAAAGGGGGAGGTGTATTAACATAGTCATCACTGATTTTAATTGTAAAAGAAATCCTGTGCTGACAGTGCCTGATCTGTGTTCAATCTTGATCATTGGTTGAGTGCTTGAAATCTGTTTGCAAAAGACCTTAAAACGCTTAGTGTTGCCATAAGGAAAAGCGGCTAATAAATGGATATTGAAAGTAAATGTTGGTCATGCGTATATTTTTCCCAGTAGCTTGACAATTCAACAAGATTATAGACATTCATATTAAGCAGTCATTCTACCTCCAGGCTTTCTGCCTTCTAATTTATCATCAATACTGCAGATAATCATTTTATTGTTTTACCAAATTATTATAATAGATGCATATGTTCTAGAAAATACAATTCTAATGTCTTATAATTAAGTTAACTTTTCAAAGTCTGGTTTAAACTATCTTTTCAATGTCAGTTCCTAGAATCTCCTTCCAGTCTCATTCCTGCTTCAGATGTGTCCTACGCTTTGCCACCTCAGGGTCTTGACTTGTTTTTCCATCTTCTTGGATTATAGACTCTAAAATCTGCTTTTGAACACTGAGTACTTAAAGAAGGGAGAAGTGATGAGTTGCAAGACCAAAGAGCAGAAGCTTGAGAAGGCAAAGTAAAGTTTTACAATGAAATGTGCAACTATCTGGAATTAGGAAACCAAAAAGGAAGCATTTTTCAAGCTGTAAGCACTGAAGAAGAAATCCAAATCTCCAGCTGGAATATGGAAGGAATTTGTGAGTAAAATCTTGAATGATCCAGGGATCATTAAAAGATGATAGAAGAAATACACCGATTGACTGTACTAAACCAGAACTCAGCCATTTAAAAAAATAGCATGTGATCTAGAACCAACGTTACTGAAAGAATAAGGCCAAGCTTCACTGAAGACATTAGTGGAAAAACAAAGCTCCAGGAACTGGCAGAATACCAAGTGAGAGGTTCCAATATCTGAATGCAATTGAATGTGTTCAACTGACTATGTCAAGTTTATCCAACAAAATGCAGAAATTATTACACAATATCACATGCAAGTAAACTATTGGTGAAGATTATTTAAAAACAGCTGGAATGGTACACTGATAAGTAACTGTCAGAAATTCAAGCTAGATTCAGAAAAGGCTACAAAATGAGGGATATCGTTACTGATGTCAGATAGATCTTAGCTAAAAGCAAAGAATACTAGAAAGATGTTTAATTGTATTGTATTGTATTGTATTGACTATACAAAGGTATTTGTGTGAATCTTTACAAATTATGGATAACATTGTGAAGAATTAGAATTCCAGAACACTTAATTGTGCTTAAGCAAATCCTATGCATAGACCAAGAAGAAATAATATGAACAGAACAAGCGGATTCTGTATGGTGAAAAATGAGGAAAGATATTTGTCAGGGTTGCAACGTTTCTCCATACTGATTCAATATATATATGCTGAGCAAATAATCAGAGAAGCTGAACTACATGGAGAATGCAGCATAAGGACTGGAGAAGGACTCATCAACAACATGATGATATATTAAAGCTGGGAAAACAAGAGTGCACTTCTTTTTTTCTTTGCGCGCGCGCGCGCGTGTGTGTGTGTGTGTGTGTGTGTGTGTGTGTACCATCAAATCAGATCTGATTGGTACAGGAGGAGATTGCCCCTCCTTCAGCAGAGCATCTGGTGGATTTGAACTGCACACCTCTGGGATTGCAGTGCAGCTTCTTGACACTAGGCCACCAGAGCTCCCTAACAGTACATATTTTTAAACATTAATTAGTTTGTGGTATATTCATGAAAGAATGGTGTATTGGGGCAAAAGATCAGAGCAGTGGCAATGAAGATAGAAGGGGAGGAATGTAGTAAAAACGTAGTAAGGAAGTGGTTAGAAATCCAGCCATAGGTGACCAATTGACTGACTCTGTGTGTGTAAGGAGTAAGGTCTAATGCTAGTATTCTCAATTTCTAACAGAATTCTAGTTGGAGGGGGGTTTCACAGACCAAGGTGAGAAATATTGAGTGAAGAGATCTTAGAAGGGAGTGAGGAGATAATGAGCTCAGTTTTGGGCACAAGGACTGTGGGAAGACTGTGGGGACATCCAGGTGAGATATTTAGGAGATTAGAAACAGATATGCAATCTAGAAACAGCAAAGAAAGGAGTTCAGGCCACAGTTCGGTGTTCCCAGCACATAGATAATACCTAAAGATGTTACCATCTAACCAAGATATTCTTGACTGACTAAAGCTGAGGCCTTTCCCAGAAAATGTGTAAATGTGGACAGTCAGGGAAGCATATCCACCTCACAGAGTATTGTTATTGGATGCTGTTGAGTTGAATGTGGCTCATAGTGACTCTATGAGCCAGGGATCTGAATCCTGTCCTGTCTTGTGTCATCTTCATTTTCTCTGATACATTAAGCCCATTGCTGCAGTCACTGTGTCAACCCACATGATTGAGGATTTTCCTCTTTAGCTGACCCTCGGCCTTTCCTAGCATGATGTTCCTTTCCAAGGAATAGCCTCTCTTAGCAATATGCCCAAATTTATGTGAGATGAAGTTTCACCATCCTTGTCCCAAGGAACATTCTGGCTGCATTTTTCCCAAGACATATTTGTAGACTTTCCCAATGCAATACGTCTCTTGACTGCTGGTACCAAGGTTGTTAATTGTGACTCCAAGTAAGATGAAATCATTGGCAGTTTAAATCTTTTCTCTATATAGCATCATGTTGCTTACTGGCCAGTGGTAAGGATATTTGTGTTTTTTTTTTATGTTGAGATGTAATCCATATTGAAGGCTGTGTTCCTTGATCTTTTGCAGAAAGCACTTCAAATCTTCTCACCTTCAATAAACAAAGTTGTGTCATCAGCATAAGAAAGGTTGTTGATGAGTCTTCCTCTTATCCTGATGCCGTATTCTTCTCCATAGAGTCCAGCTTCTCAAAATATTTGCTGCTTAGTGTACAGATTGAATAGGTATGGAGAAAGGATAAGATGCATACCTTTCCTAATTTTAAACCATGCAGTGTTTCCTTTTTCTTTTCAGACAAGTTCTAGACAGGATTTGTATGAGCATAATGAAGTGTTCTGGGATTCTCATTCTTCTCAATATCAGCCATAGTTTATTACAATCCACAAAGTCAAAAGCCTTTGCATAGTTAATAAAACACAAGTAGACATTCTTTTGGTATTCTCTGCTTTCAGCCAAGATCCATCTGACAGTAGCAATGATGCCACGGGCCTCTTCTAAACCTAGCTGGAACTTCTTGCAGTTCTCTGTTAATGTTCTGTACTAGTCATTTTTGGACGGTCTTCAGCGACGTTTTGCTTGCATATGATAATTAATGATACTGTTTGATAATTTCCACATTCTGTTGAATCGTATTTCTTGGGAATGGGAATAAATATGGATCTCTTCCAGTAAGTTGGTCAGGCAACTGCCCCTCAAATTTCCTAGCAGAGACTGGTGAACATGTCCAGGGCTGCATCTGTCAGCTGAAACACATTAAGTGTTATTCCATCAATCCTGGCAACTTATTTTCTTGCCAATGCCTTCAGTGCAGCTTGAAATTCCTCCATTGTTGCCACTGATTTTTGTTCATATGGTACTTTGAGCTTGTTCAGTGTCAACCAATTTTTTTGTGGTGTTTTGTTTTGGGGGGTTTTGTACAATGACTCTATAGATTTTTTCCATCTTTTTTGATGTTTCCTGTTCATTCAAGATTTTGCCCGTAGTACTTTACAGTATCACAACTCATAACTTGAATTTGTTTTGCAAGAATGAAATATTTTTAAAATTTTTATTAATTTTAATGAGAATGAGAAAAACTGGATAAATTATGTATACTGCATTGAAACAGATGAGGGAGAGAACAGGTTAAAAGATACATATGGTAGGGTATTATGGTTTTCAAAAAAGTCCAGAAAGAAGGTTGCCTAGTTGAGTGTACTCGGGGCGGGTGGTGGTGGTGGTGGTGGTGGAATTGTATACCAATGAAGGAATTTTTCTTTTACTTTTCAAAGAGAAGAGCAAACTGGGTGGGAGCCGTGGGCAGGGAGAAAAGTGCAACAATGAATGAATGGAAGTCCAAAAATCTCTGTTCATTAAAATAATGCCATGCTTTTTAAAAGTAGACAGTGAAACTTAATGGATTAGAGAAAGATAGCTCATATCTAACTGATAACAGGATAGCTTCACTGGTCCCCTTCCATTAATCCCAAGGAACAATGTGAAAACTAGGTCAGGTGCTGATTGTGGAACAGACCACCAAATATTCATATGTAAGTTCAAGCTGAAGCTAAGGAAAATAAAATCAAACCCACGGGAACCAAAATATGACCTTGAGTCTATCCCATCTGAATTTCAAAACAATCTCAGGAACAGGTTTGAGGCCTTGAACACCAATGAGTGAAGACCAGATGAGTTGTGGGAGGATGTCAAGAGTATGATCCAGGAGGAGTACATAAGGTCATTACAAAGTCAGAGGAGGGAAAAAAGATCAAGATGGATGTCAGAAGAGACTCTAAATATTGCACTAGAGTGCCAAGAAGCCAAAGCAGAAGGAAGAATTCAAGATATTAAAGACCTGAACAGAAGATGTCAAAAGGCAGCACAGGAAAACAGTGTAAAATATTACAATGAAATGTGCAAGGAGCTGGAGTCAGAAAATCAAAAGGGCTGAACTCAGCATTTCTTAAGCTCAAGGGTCTGAAGAACAAATTCAAACCTCAAGTTGCTATTACTTAAGGATGCTTTGGGCTGAATATTAAATGATCCAGGAATTAGTAAAAGAAGATGGAAAGAGTATGCAGAGTTATTGTACCGAAAGAAATTGGCAGACACAGAAGAATTTCATGAAAAAACATATGAACAAGAGCCTATGGTGATGAAGGAAGAAGTTCAAGCTGCTTTGAAGGAACTGGCAAAAAAAATAAGGTCTCAGGAATTGATGGTATACCAATTAATTTATTTCAACTAACAGATGCTGGTGCTCAGGCTGTTCGTTCATAGGGTCGCTATGAGTCGTCTACGACTCGACGGTATTAAACAACAACAACAACAACAACAGATGCTACCTTAGATGTGCTCACCAAGTTGTATCAAGAAACCTGGAGGGCAACCACTTGGCCAACTGACTGGAAGAGATTTATATTTGTTCCCATTCCAAAGAAAGGAGATCCAAAAGAGTGTGGAAACTATAGAACAATATCATTGATATCACATGGAAGCACGATTCTGCTGAAGATTATCTAAAAACAGCTGGAACAGCACATCAACAGAGAACAGCCAGAACTGCAGGCTAGTTTTAGAAGGGGTCATGGTACTAGGGATATTGTAGCTAATGTTAGATGGATCATGGCTGAAAGCAGGGAGTACCAGAGGAATGTCTGTGTTTCATTGACTATGCAAAGGTGTTTGACCGTGTGGATCACAAATTGTGGCTGACTTTGAGAAGAACGGGAATCCCAGAACACTTGATCATGCTAATGTGAAACCTATACTTGGACCAGGAGGCAGTCGTCAAAACAGAGCAAGGAAACACTGCATGGTTCAAAATTGGGAAGGGTGTACACCAGGGATGTGTCCTATCTCCATACCTTTTCAATCTGTATGCAGGGCAGATTATCCAGGAGACTGGGAGGAGAAGTGTGGCATCAGGATTGGAGGAAGATTAATCAACAATCTGTGTTATGCAGATACAACCCTGCCCGCTGAAACTGAGAAGGACTTGAAGCACTTGCTGCAGAGAGTCAAGGACTGTAGCCTTCAATATGGACTGAGGCTAAATATCAAGAAAACAAAGAGTCTCACCACTGGACCAATTGGCAGCATCAGGATGGATGGTGAAGAGATTGAGATTGCTAAGAGCTTTAGTTTGCTTGGCTCCACAATCAACACTCTTGACATCAGCAGCCAGGAAATTAAAAGACATATTGCGATGGGAAAGTCTGCTTGTTAGGAACCTCTCCAAAATACTGAACAGTAACAGTCTGGAGACAACGGTGCACCTGATACAGGCTATGGTTTTTGCAATCACTTACTATGCGTCAGAGAGCTGGACAATGACCAGGGAGGATAGAAGGAGAATTGATGCCTTTGAGGTGTGATGTTGGAGAAGAGTATTGGATATACCATGGACTGCTAAGAAAATGAACAGGTTCATCCTAGAGAGGGTTAAAACAGGCTGCTCCTTGGAGGCAAGGATTCTGAAGCTTCATCTTACATACTTTGGTCATGTTGCAAGTAGGGACCAGTTCTTGGAGAAGGACGTTATGCTTGGGAGGGTGAAGGCACAGTGCAGGAGTGGAAGACCCTCTATGAGGTAGATTGATTCAGTGACTGGGGTAATTGGGCGAGGTGTGTCGGAGACAGTGAGTTTGGCACAGGATAGAGCAGTTTAGGGCTGTTGTACATAGGGTCACTATGAGTTGCATGTGACTCAATGGCATATAACAACAACAACAACAACACTAAAAAAAGTCAGAACTGAAATTCTTCTAAATTCTATAGTAGCTTTCCTTATCTGCTTTTGTTAGTACTTAAAATAATAAGCATCTGTCACAATTAGGAATTCAATATTGTAGCCATGTTTGGCACAGACTGAAGTATATCAGATCTAAATGGATTCTGCCTTGCATGGTTTTTTTTTCTCTATTGTTTGGAATTCACTCCAATGACATTTCCCAGCAAGTGATGTTCCCAAGACTGACTTAGAATCCTGTGGGGACAATGCCAAGGTTAATAAGAGGTGAAATCCAAGGGAATGAGCTTTGTTAACTTGTGTATACTCGCCCTTCTAATTTCCTAGTGTTTCCTCTGTTGTGATTTCCAGTAATTGTAGAAAGTAACACTACATAATTTCTCACTGAATGCAATTAAAGATTTAATGAAACTTAGATTCATTAACTTGTGTAGATTTTTACAAAATCACCTTGCTACAGCCTGCAGAGTGCATTAATGACCCATGAACAAGGCACACACATAATCTTAATATTCAACAGTGAGCTTTTAAAGCAAACTCCACAGCAAATGCAGTGGCTAAGCTGAAATGTGTCATCTTGCTCTCTCTTAAAAGCTACTTAATTTTTTTTAATGGGAACTGAAATTTAGCTGACAGTCACCTCCTTGGGGCTGTACTGAAATAAAGTCAGTTTAAAGACACTGAGCGGGCTCCACTGTAAAAGTTGAGACTTTAGGAAAAGAACAAAAACCAGAACATAATGGGCACACAGGGAATTGAGTATTTGCCTCACAGTGTTGGTGTCGTGTATTATGACCTAAGTTTGCTAACAAAGGGCAAGGCATGGAACTAGAGAAGCAGACAAGATGAAATAGAAACATCCTGATTGGAAAATGGTATAACAAGGATCCCTGCAGGCCCAGTGAATCGCAGACTACTCTATGTTGGCATCAATGTTCGGCTGGCCCTAGAAGCCTGGTTAAGAGCATGGGCTAAATCCTTCAAACTAGATCCACAACTAATTTGTAGGAAAATTTTTGGAAGACAGGTTGTGTGTGTCAGAAAAAGCAGACACTAGAACCCAAGGAGATGATAATCAGCATCAAGTGGGTGCCGTGATGGACAGCTGGAGCAGGGGTCTGGTCACAAAAACATATGCATCCATTACACGAACCAGCATATATTTAAAGTGAATTTTAATGAATGTTTACACAGATTTTGGATTTCCATACATCCATTGTTGCCTTTTTCTCCCTGCCCACCCCTGCCCTCAATTTGCTCTTATCTTTGAAAAGTAAAAGAAAAATTATTTCATTGGTATAGAATCCCCCACCCCCACCCCGAGTACACCCACTATGCAACCTTCAATCTGGACTTTTGTCATAACCTTATTATCCAATCATATATTGCTTTCAAACAGTTCTCTCCCTCATCTATTTCAATGCAGTATACATAATTTATCCATTTTTTTCTCAGTCTTACTCCAACCCTGATGTCAGTCCCATTCTACATTAGTGGCATTATGCAGCACCTGTCTTTTAGTGACTGAGATATTTCATTCAGCATAATGTCCTCCAAGGTCACCCACTGTGAATAATATTGCATGAGTTCCTTGTTTTTCAATGCAATGCAGTATTCCATTTTGTGAATATACCACAGCTTCTCTATCCATTCATTTGTTTTTTTTTTGTTTTTTTTT